TTTTTTTTAAATAATGGTCCATACGTAAGTTTCCACTGTATGTATTCATAAACTTTACAAAAAATCAACTTCCGATTTCAAATATATTTCCCACTGGTTCCACTTGATCTATCAACACTTATCTTCTTTCCAACTATGAGTATCCTTATAGGTCCTTTTTTCTTTCAAATTGAAAATCAAGGACTCAATATATACTACATATATATAAATGCATATAAAAGATCGAAATCAGAAAAAAAAAATCTGGCACATCTGTACTATTAAAATAAGCCACATGTGGTTTGAGGTAACCCCGTCCCTCATATCTTAGCCACAAAGGGTTTTGGGAAAACAAAATTTTTTTTCCAAATATTTGATTTTAATATCGATAGATAGATTTAAACATGTATACATGTATATAAATAATGTACATGGGTATGTTCAATAATTTTTTGGTATATATAACTTTTGATATATTCCAAAAGGGGTCGCTATAAATTTTTTATGTGCATTTCAAGTATATTAAAGTCTGATAAAGTTTTCTTTCGTGTTTCCTTAAATATTTAATTTTATTTATCCTTTTTTTTCTATATATGATGGACATGAAATATATACGTTATTTTATGAATAATTTGAATCTAAGAACGTAAAATATATAAGGAAAAAATTGACTTATAAAAGATGTATATGAGGACATTACGATGTAAATTGGTGGATTCGATTGGTTTTTAATGCAATCATTTTGTATGAGGTTGCCTTGCTTTTTGGTTTTTAATTTTGTATTCATTATTTTCAAAGGAATTTTAATATTTCCGAGGAGAATAAAAATTTTGTATAGAATTTATATTTGAAAAAATATTGTAAATGAATTTGGCAAAATGAAAAATGCATATAGATGGCAAAAATTTTGAAATTTTAATTGAATTTTGCTGAAGAATCTCCTTGACTAGCTGTGTATTTTTTTCGAAATTATTGGGAATCGTCCCAGATTTAGAGAAATTTAGGACATTTTAGTGATTAAAATCAAAAATATTACATAACACCTTATGTGGATTTTATGGGGTATTTGAGAAAGTTATATCTGAAGAAGAATAGTTTTTGGTAATTCTGTATATCAAAAAAAGTCTACCATATAACAGAATTTGAAATATAGAAAGAAAAGCCATAATCTCAGTATAATTTCGCCCCTGCAGTTAAATGGAGCTCTTAATCGAACGATGTCGATTTACGGAGTATTTGACAAAGTTATACGTCTGGAGAAGAAAAATTTATAGTAATTCTGTGGATCAAACAGAAAATGCACTATAGGACAGAATTTGAAATCTTGAAAAAAACCATAATCTCAGGATAGTTCCGTCCCTGTCATAAAAACTAGCTCTTATGTTCAATGGAACTTTGTCGCTTTATGGGGTAGTTGACGAAGCTACGTCTGGAATTCAGAGTTTTTGTTAATTCTGTCGGCCAAACAGGAAATATATACTATGTCCGACGGAATCTGAAATCTTAAAGAGAATCCATAATTTGAAAATAGTTTCGTTGCTGCAATAAAAATGATGCGGAAAAACATAAATTCAACAAACACAGTTGTAGCATAAAAGAAAATTATTAATTTACAGAACGTTTCTGCCAAAACTTTTACGTAACAAATTATAAACTTTTACACCTTTATTCAACTTAATTTTATTGCACCATGTTTTAATGTATATGTACAAGTTAACAAGAGTTCACTTTTTTTTTAACATTATGGCTTTTTGAGAACAAACAAAAAAAACACACACAATTACAAATAAATTTTATTTGAGTTTTTAAAATTCAAATATAAAATATTCAATTTTCCGACAAATTTTCTGTCCTTTAAGAAAAATACCGTTGTAATTTTGTCTTAAATTATTAACAGCTCACACACACACACTCTCTCACACAAAAGTAAGAAAGAATTAAACAATTATCATGAGAGTTGAGAAATTTTTTTTTTTAGAGAAAAGTAAAAAAAAAAATGAGAATCATGTTTTAAAATTTAAGAAGAAGAAGGAGAAGTGAAAGAGAAACAATAAGAATAAACTTTAAACTTAACATAACTGTAAAATGTTATCATTGTTATTTTTGTTTCAGCATGGAGTAAATTTGTTCTCAATTTTTTTTTGTTTTTCTTATTGTTGAACTTTCAATTTTGTTTGTTGGTGTGTAGTGGCAATGAGACCAAAAATAAGCAAACAAAACAAATGTAAACAGGAGGAAAAAATTAAAATAATGATTGTTATGTCGTACTTGTGCTTCATTTTTTTTTTCTCTTTATATATTTATGATATTGTTTTATTGTTGTTATCTCCCAGGACATCATTTTGATCCTTGTAAACAACCGCGACTTTATTTCGAGATGTTACTATTTTTTTTATTTTTTTTTGCTTTTATTTAGAATTTTTGTTCAAAAATGTTCATGAATTATTTAAATTGGTTTTATGTTTAAAAAAGAATAAAGAAAAACGTGAGACACTTTTTTTTTCTTTTTGAAAGTTAAACATTAAAATGCAGGATTTTTAAACTAAATTTTTTAACAATTTTATAATTTATTACTAGGTTATGGATTTTTTTGTTTTGTTCCTCATTTGATATTTTCTGATATCATCTTCTAATACCTAGACATCCAAACTAACTTTAAAATAAGTCATTGTACACCGCCATAACGAAATTTAATTAAAATAGTTATCCTACTACCTCTACTTCTCACACAAAATTTTGAATACAATTAACTTTTTAATTTCATAAAAATTACCAAAATAATTAATACAGTTGTATTGCAGCTTTTTGCTGAGTTGTATTGCAGCTTCTCGCTCAATTGGGTTCGTAATAAAAATACTGTAAATTATTCGTTAATATTTAGTTACTCTAATTCAATTTGCATTTTGGAGTTATCAATGCGAAGGACAGACAGATGAAGCTCAATGAACTTATTTCTAATATTTATTTAAAATATAAGCACAAATCTGAAAAAAATAACTATGTTTGAAACTGCAAAATGCTTGGCAATACTTTAAATATTATTCATATATTGCGAAATTTAAATTTTTTACTCTAATGACATTTAGAAATGACATTAAGAAAAAAAAAGACAATTTTTCATCTCTTACCTGAATTATATACATGCATACTTCCACAGAAATATTTAATCATACATGTTTTTGCACAATAAAGAAGTTCTTTCTGTGTGATAAAACCTCTAAGGGTTTATGTTTAATGAAGTGATCCTCATATTCCCAATTAAAAATATAATTATGTGAGGCAACCTACCAGCTGAATGTTATCTCAATTTAAAAATCTTTTGCTTATATCAATTTTGAAAAATTGCATATAACGAGGCGTAAAAAATATAAAAAAATATAAAATATTGTATGAATAATTCTCTATATACAAGTAAAAATTATACAAACAAGGCACTTGCAATTTCCGATAAAATAAGAGTTAAAAATATAGAGAATAACCGTCACAGTACATTAATTTACCTATACTTAAGCAAGCAAACGTCATGTAGTGTTAATTCTTTTATGGCGGTATTAGATATAACTTCAATGTCAAAAATTCTTCCTATATACATTAAACTTTTATTTATATTAACTTTAGTATTTTTAAACTCGTTTTGGGAATTTATTTATTTTATTTTTTTAAAAATTGTTCAAATTTTCTTTTTCCATTTTTTTATTTTTTTTGTATAAACTTCAGTTTATAAACAAATATTCTTTAATATTCCCCAATATGACTATGTTAGAAACTTTATTTGCGTAGTTAAAATATTAAGAAAGAATAAAGATAAGTGTAATAATGTACTAAGTTTTTTAGGGAGTTTTGTAGTAGCTTTTATTCATGAAAAATTTAGAGAATTTGCGGAATATTCAAAAAGACATACAAAGAGAACGCATTTATTGTAAAAATCATTTGGGAATCAAACAAGAGTAATAAAGTAAGAAGTGTAAAAATTCATGCTAAAACTAATTTTTTTTTTTCTTCTAAGAATGATGTAAATGAGAGTAGAACAAATAAGAAATTGTGACTAAAATTTGGAATAAAAAGCATTTTGAGCTAAACGAATCATTTTAAAATAATCATTACGAAAATAAAAATGATAATTTTGTTAATTTTTAAATTAGTTTTAAAATGTTTGTTCAGAGGGAGTTTAAATTAAATTTATTCAAAAATGTGAAATTTCTTGAATTAAATTCAATTAACTAAATTGTTAAGAAGCTTTAAAATCTACGAATTTGGAGAGAATTTTGTATGAAACTTCATGAGCACTCTTGAATTCAAACGCTATTATAAAAAATAAAAAAGTACTAGCGCCATCTATATTTTTAGTGTATAAATTTTAGCATTCCATCCGGTCTCCTATAAAATATTTGGTACACTATTTACATATACGACAAAATCTATGATTTAAGATGAAACAAAACAAGAGCGATTTTCCGCGGCAAAATTTCAGAATTCATATAGAACACATATGTATAAATGCCCAGAACGAAGCGAAATTACAGCGGCGAATGTCCGCTGTTGTTCTGAGTTAATAACGAAAATCGTCCGCCGTTGCCGTTCACTGCTTTAGTTCTACTTTTGCTGTTAATGTGGGTCTGATGAAAGTCATATATATAATATAAACCCTGTTTGACATCAGATTCTATTCTCATTAGATTTGCTGTCAGACGTTTTAAAAGTCATATGGCGGCAATAAATTTTTTGCGGAGGTGTTGAGCAGGGAATAGCTGATTTTAATTTAAGCGTAAATTCTAGGTTGTGTAAAGAGTTATCAGACTTTATCGTAGATTTAGCCTTAGATTTTGTCCTATATTATGTAGACAGAGCTTTATTAATGTCATCCTAAAAGAGAATTAAAATTTAAAACTATTAGTAATTCAAATATCGAATTTTCAAGCAAAATTTTCTTCAAATTTTTTAATTTTTTAATAATTTTGAAAAAAAATTTCGAGCAAAAAATTTAATTTTTTTTTTGTTTGTTTTTTTTTTTTAATTTTCAGTTTTGATCGTGACCAACCATTTACTTTTCAATTAGGAGCCGGTCAAGTTATTAAAGGATGGGATCAAGGACTTAAGGATATGTGCGTTGGTAAGTTTCAAGTGTATTCAAAAAAAAAAAAATAATTAAAATCAACTTTCTAAAATTTTATAATGTTTCACTTTATTTTTTGCTTTCCGTTTTCCTATTCTACTAAAAACTCTTTAATTATTGTCCTTTCATAAACTCAAATTAAGCACGTTTTCAAGTACATAGATAAAAATTTCAGTATTCAAAAAGTTGTATAACAGTTTTTTGTTTTTCATTCAACACTTCTGTTTCTAATTGTTTTATTTTTTTCTCTTTGCAGGTGAAAAACGTAAATTAGTTATACCACCAGAATTAGGTTATGGTGAACGTGGTGCTGGTAATGTAATCCCCGGTGGAGCAACATTATTATTTGATGTTGAATTAATAAATATTGGTGACTCATCACCTACAACAAATGTATTTAAAGAAATTGATGATAATAAAGACAATCAATTGAGTCGCGAAGAGGTAAACGCCTATGTATGGATCATTTCTTTTTATTTTTTTATTTTTTTTTATTTTTTATTTTGTGTTTTTGTTTATTTTGATTTATTATAGTTCCTTATATACATATATACATACATATATAATATAATATTATATATTTTAATATTAAAAATTATTTCTTTAAAAAAATACCTTTATTTTTTGGTTGAAAATATTTTAATAATCCTTTAAGCATGTTCTTATTTTATATGTATAATAGTTATGTATAATAATTATGATATACATATATAACAGATAAAATATTATGTAAATTGTATTTTTTAAGATTTTCGGGGGTTTAATTACGGAATTTGTTAGTAATAATGATTTAAGTGGTACGCAAATACAGTAAATTTGATTTTAAAAATTATTTTGGAATTAAATTTGAATTCAAGAGAAAAAATGTACTCACTATAAAATTATAGGTGTTATAATCTGTTAATGACATGTCACTTTCTATGTACTCGTAATTCGATTTTTCGTCAAAAGATTTTCGTATTTGCAGAAATTGAAAGGTAGTACCATAAAAATTGATGGGCGCTATCTTATCATTTTTCTAAATAGACATGACAATAGAATTACATAGTAAGGCCCCTGAACAAAGTATTGGCATTCAAAAAATAATTCGGAAAACTTATATATTAATAAACACAGGGTTATAATTATAATAAATATTATGTTCCCATTCTCAGTGTTTCTGCAATTTAAAAATCATGCAAACCTACATGATTGAATTTCAATAAAATTGCAATATTTTAATATTTATTGCCTTCACTTCGAAATTGCAGTAATACGGTATTAATACAAAATTCAGCTTGTAGTTGTCAAATAATGTAGCAATACAGTATTACTACAATTTTGAAGTCACTATTCATCTCTGGCAATTGATATTTTCTTTTAATAAGATCAATTTTTTCAACAGCAAAATACAATTTACACATATATTAAATTAAATATAGTAGATAAATTAATAAAATGATTGTTCTTAAACGTACACCCACTCTTATAATGTTTGAATAAAAAAATGTAGCATCCCTGCATTGCATTCTTTTTATTGAAATTTCTATATTATTTGTATAAATTTGTATATCTAAGATTTCTTTATAATTAGTATAATAAACAAAACAAAATAATTGGACTATTTCAAAAATAAAAAAAAATTATGTAGATGTAAAACAAAGGTAAAATTAATTTACAAAAAAAAAATTAAAAATGTGGTGTTGGTCAAATTTTTTTCCATTTAATACGCATTCGAATCCTCCTTAATCTTGTAATCAAATCAAATGCAATACCCACTTAACGCCTACACAAAATTCATATTAACAGTTTCAGTTAAGTGAATTAACAAACTTAACTTCATTCACAATAATTAATTTGTAAATTTACCGTAAATTTTTAATTACCGCTATTAAGTACATTCATAATTTTGTCCATTTCATATATCAGAATTTTCTCCATTAATAATATTGTTCGTGACTTCGAAAATTGCAATAATACATAGTACCATGTTGATATGCAGTACTATTGTCTAGCTACAAAATATATTATTTATTAACAGTAGCCTATTACTCAGCTAATGAGTTGTAATTGGTGAATAATTTTGTATTATTGCAATTTTGAAATCAGGATACCATGAAAAATTTGTAAATGGGTTTTTTTTCGGTATTTCATTATGCAATCAGATAACTAGAAAAGCTTTTTTACAATATTTTAGAAGTAGTACAAAGTTTGACGCTTCTACTTTTTGTGTAATGCGGAAGTATGTCAAAATCAAAGTCTGTTATTACAAACTGTTCGTTTAATTAATCAATTTCAAATAAAGAATTAAAAATAAATTGAGCGCGAATTTGTTGAAAATTCAATTATTTCACGGCCTAAAAGAAAAAAAAAATCAGATTAAATTAAAAATCTAAACACTTTACTTTAGTAAATTTTTAATGTCCGACTGAAATGTCCGTTTTTAAACTGCTGCAAAACAATATTTCAAAATCGAGGACTACAAATCTGTTGTTCTACAATGAATAACATACTGCATGTCAAATCTAACTGAGAACTGAAATAACGAAAAAGCCCAATGTCATATCAAATTCGAAATGTCATAAGAATTTTTTTTTTTTATCAATATTATCAAAAATGCATTTACGTAAATATTTGTGAATTTTATCATTAACAGTAAATTACATGAATATATATACATATTTACTAATATACATTTTTCAAATAAGTGTTAACAATAATTTCTTCATGTAAATTTAGAATATACAACATTATGTAAACAATAATATATTAAATACAAAAAAAACATTAACGTTATTATGTAAATTTTGTATTTTACAGGTTAGTGAATATTTAAAGAAACAAATGTCTGCTGTCGAAGATTCAGAAGAATTAAAAGGAATGTTAGCTGAACATGATAAACTTGTTGAAGAAATTTTCCAACATGAAGATAAAGATAAAAATGGTTTTATATCACATGATGAATTCTCTGGGCCAAAACATGATGAACTGTAGAAAAATAAGAAGAAAAAAAAATTAATTAGATTTCTAAAAATTTTTGTTTTAATTTTTAAATTTTTTTTTAATTTTTATTTAATTTAAATAAAAAAACTTTTAATTTTTTTGTTCTCTCTTTGCAATATAAATAAATTTTTTTATTTAATTTAGAATACTTTTGATTTGTATAAAAAATTAAGATTTCTTATTTAAATTCGAATAAGAAAAATAATTAAAAATTAATTTTTCATTTTTTGCTAAATAACGAAAATTTAAAATAAAATAAATTAAATAACATTCAATTTAAAAAAAAATAAAACAAGATTTAATTACACATAAAATAGAGTAGTTTAAAGAAAAAAGAGAAAACCCATGTTTTGTTAGGAGAATATAAAATGTATATTAACTTTATTGAAAATAAAAAATAAAAAAATATAATTATATAGAAATTAATTAAAATAATTTAATTAAAAAAAAAAATAATGATAAATTAATGTAACGTATAACAAATTTTTACATGAGCATAACGAAACCATATTTGTGAGAATAAAAGGAGTTTTTTTTTGTAAAAAAAAATATAAAATTTATTTTGATAATTAATCTTATTTTTGTAGGCATATATCCTTCCCCCATGGAATAACCAAATTTATTTTAACATATATTTTGGATTACATATTAAATTCTTTACAACAAAATAAGAGCTCTCTGATCATCGAAATTTTTAATAAAGGATCGAAAAAGTTACACGTTTACGATTATATTCATCATTAGTCTATTTTTTAATAATTATTTCTTTACTCAGAATCATAAAATTTGGGTCAGATTTAAAATACAAATTTTTAAATATAGATTTAATATTAAATGAATGTGTCAAAAACAAACAAATATATCGACAATATTATTTCGGGCAAAGTTGAACATTTTAACAAAATTAAAACAATTCTCTAGCTAAAAAACAAAAGCCAATTCTGATAACAATAAAAAAAGTTGTAGCACTTCTATGATTATTTTTGTTTGATTCAATAACACTCTCAACAAAAAACCTTAAAAGCCTGTGTAATATCTCATATGTTCCATTTAAAGGTAACGTTTTAAACGTATACCAATCTGTAGTATAACATTTCCTATAACAGACCACCCTATAAGTAGTACCGTTGCATGGGCGACACGTTTTGAATGGAAAACTTACTTAAAGAGAATCGAAAATTCAACCCAAATTTTTTTGGCATTCCGGAAAATTTATGTGTCAAATTGGTTTCTTGAGAACTGACAAAAATTGTAGTTATAATAATATAAAATCAAAGACAGCATTCCATTTATAAAATACTCCCAAGAATCTATAAAGATATTGAACTGTATTTAAAAAATTTGTTATTATTGTAGAATACCCTCAAAATGTACTTTGTATACTTATGTATAATGTACGTAACGTACACATTATTTTTGTACACTTACGATTCAAATATTTTTAAATTTTAGATAAAATTTCAATTTTGACGTTTCAAAACTCAATTTTTTAATATATGGATTTACCTTTGTCAAGTTTATAGGGCAATTGTGACTTTAATGAAAAACGTAGAATTGTCATTTAACGTCAACTCAGCTGTCACATAGAAACATCGAAAAAAATTTTCATGTGTGAATTAAGAAAAACAAAACAATGTTCATCAACACAACAAAATTTTGATTAACCCAATTTTAATCTGAGCTAAATAAAGCACGTTTATTGACTAAATTTATTTGAAATTATTCTTTTTTTAAATATTACAAGTTGTTTATTAAATTTTAATAATGAAGTGTCATTACGAAGTTCTTGGTATAGCGAGGGAAGCTGAAGATTCTGAAATTAAAAAAGCTTATAGAAAATTGGCTTTGCAATGGCATCCAGGTATGGTAAAAATTTTAAAATAGAATTTGAAAGCCGTAAAAGAAAACTGATTTTGCCAGAGAAAATTCATTGTGACATTAAAAGTTTAAATTATAATTACAGATAAAAATTTGGATAATGAGGAAAAAGCCAGAGAGCAGTTTCAATTAATACAACAGGCATATGAAGTTCTTTCTGATCCACATGAACGAGCTTGGTATGACAATCATCGAGAGCAAATTTTGAGAGGAAGAAACTCAGACTATGAAGATAATTGTTTAGATGTTTTCCAATATTTTACTGTGACATGTTTTAAAGGTTATGGTGATGATCCTGGTGGATTTTATGCAGTTTATTCAGAAATATTTAAGAAAATTGCAGCTGAAGATGCTGAATTCATGGATGATGAGGAATTAGAAGATATACCAGAATTTGGGGATTCACAAAGTAATTATGAACAAATTGTTGGACCATTTTATGCTCACTGGCAAAGTTATTGCACAAAAAGAACATATTCATGGTTATGTAAATATAATATCAGTGAAATAAAAGACAGAAGAATACTGAGAGAAATTGAAAAGGAAACCAAAAAATTAGCTCAAAAAGCAAGAAAAGAACGAAATGAAGAGGTAAAAACTAAAAATAACTATAAAATTAAACCCCATACATTTTTTATTTAATTTCAGGTGCGAAATCTCGTGTCATTCGTGAAGAAACGTGATAAACGTGTTGAAGCCTACCGAAGACAATTAGAAGAAAAAGCTGAATTAAATAGAAAAAAACAGGAACAAAATCGATTAGACCAAATCCGAAAGCGTAATAAAGAATTGGAAGAAATGAAAAAATCTCATGCTAAACATTCTCTTAAACCTGATGATTATGAAGAACAGTTGCGTATGCTTGAACAGGAATACGGTGGTAGTAGTGAAGAATATTCCGATGAGGAAGAAGACGAATATAATGAAAATCTTGATAATGAAATTGGAATTAATGACGAAATAACGGATCAAATTGACAATGGAGAAGAAACAGATGATCCCGAAGAGGATATGGAAGACATATTTGTCGATGATTTATATTGTGTGGCATGTGATAAATCTTTTAAAAATAAGAAAGCTTTAAAAAATCATCAGACAAGTCAAAAGCATATTAACAATGTTGAAAAGGTTAAAGCCGAAATGATTGAAGATGACAAAAGATTTAATGAACAAAGAGATCAAGTAAACGACGAAGTACCAGTCAATGTTGATGGTTCTATAAATGGTGATAATGAATCTAATGAAGACGTCGAAGAGATGACAAAGTCTACAAAGAAAAGCAAGAAAAATAAAAAATCTAAGAAAAGTGGAAAAAATTCAAATGTGCCAATAGAACCTGAAGTTCTACCAGATTTACTAGCTGAATTAGAAATGGAAAAAAATAACGAAACTGAAAATAAAAAATCAAATAAAAAAGGTAAGAATAAGCAACAAGGGAGAAAAAACATTGAAACTTCTAATATAGATGGTGATGTAAATCTAGAAAATATTGAAGGAACATCTAAAGCAACTGAATCAATTACAAATATTGAAACAAAAGATAAAAAGATAAAATCGGAACAAACAAAAAATAGTGATGTTGATACAAATCATGTATGCGTTACATGTAAAGCAGTATTTCAATCTAAAAATAAATTATTTAATCATTTAAAGGAAACTAATCATGGTGTCTATATACCGAAAGTAAAAGATTCTACTAAAGATTCAAATAGTAAATCGTCTAGCAATAAAAAGAATAAAAGGAAATAGGATTTTAAATTCATTGTACATATTTAAGATTTAAAAAAAGAATTTTGATCGTAAAATATAATATTGAAAATTAAAAAATAAATTTTGTTTTAATATTTAACTTCAATTACAATATGGAATACATTGTATTTATGGAGGCTCATTGAAGACAAAAACTTGCAGAAATTAAACAACTATGTGAATATATTAATAGGATTTCCTATATGAGAAACGAAAAACAAATAGTAATATAAAGTTAGTAATTAATTTAAAAATGTTAAGCTAACAAGTGAGAAATTCAAAATCTTTAAAATTTTCAAAATATTTGCTAATTGCTTAAAATAACCTATCTTGTATTTAATGGATGTTCATGACACATAAGTGATACTTGCAAATGTTAATTCAAAAATTATAATATGACTATGTTATAATTTTAGTAGATAACAATAATTATAGACCGAAAATTAAAAAAAAAAAATCAAATAAATTTTTCTTGTATATTTTATTCTAAAAATAATAAGCACTGGTTTATTCTTCATTTAATTGTAGAAACTTTTCAAAATAAGCAATTATCAAAATTTTAACTTATATGTGATAATCTTAATATTTACGTACATAATTAATAATGTATTACAATCATACATAATTATATAAATTTTAATCAATTTAAATTTTCATTTTAATATTTAAAATCTTTACAGAGCTAATATATTTTTTTTAATGTATACAGAATATTTATATAATCTTTGGATATAAAAAGTATTTTTTGTGATATTAAAATTCTTCCTCTTAAAAAATATGATATTTTTTTTTCTTTTAAATTAATTACATTACATTTTATTACACATAAATATTATATTTCTTTTCTTAATATACAAAATAACTAGTTTTAAATGAAATTCTGATCACAATATCAAATAATAATAGTTTATAATTATTCATTCTTAAATTAATATTATATAATTATTTTTCTTAATCTTCTCAGTTTTTAATTCTAATGAAATTTAAGTCCATATTGGATGGAATTTATATAAATAAATTATTTAATTATAATAATATAATAATTTAAAAAAAAAAATACAAATTTAAAATAATTTCTCTTTTTAATTCTAAATTACTTAATTTCATAAATGCATAATATATAAAATATTAATATAATAGTTTGTTTTTGAAGTTTATATAATCTCATATTAAATTTTTATGGTACACAAACTAATCGATCACCTTCTTCAACACGTCTTTTAACATGTGCTCTCATATTAGAAGCTTCTGCTTTAAGACTAATACCAGCACATATAAAACATAATATAATACCAAATATAGCACTATAAAATGAAAAACCTAAAATTTAAAATAATATAAAAATTTTATAATTAAAATAAAATATATTTAATATATTACCTATTGTACACATTCCAGGATTAAATGCTTCTGAATCTGAACCACATAATATTATAACTCTTTTAGCACCCCATCCTAATGGATGTAAAAATACACCTAACATTACGCATATACCTAAAATGTATATTAAAAAAAAATTTTATAAATTAATTTCAATTACAATAATAATAAGATGATTTTAATATTTAACCTGATATTACTTGAGCGCATGCAGTTAAATTATGTATACTTTTTCCAAATATTGATTGTCGACAACATGTTACCATTGTTAATAATACAGTTAGAGCTAATATTACACAACCCATTGACATAAAAAACATACATGCTTTCCATTCTGGTGGATAAACACGACTATCTGTACCAAAACCATCTAAATCAAATGGACCACAATGATAACCAATACGTTCCATTGTTTTACATCTTGTATAAATACCAACTGATGCATATCTATATGCTGTTACATTTGATGAACTTGAATGTTCAACTTCTAATGTTGGTCCAATTAACCATTTTGGTGTAACAATTGATGAAACAATTAATAAATCAGCTATTAAACTAAGTACAAACCAAAATAAACTACAACCAGTAATTAAAATATAGCAGCACATTTTGGATTTTTTATTTTTAACTTGTATTTTATAAAAAAAATTTATTTTTAGAATTTTACAGATTTTTGTTTTGTGTTTTCTTTTTTTTCGTGTTTCAAATTTTTAAAAGATTGTTGACTAGATTTAGAACTCTGAAAAGAATAAGAAAGAAAAGAAATGATTTTATTAAATTTTTTTATTAAAATAATATAAATTAAATATAAAATTTAAATTAATATAAAATTATTGCTGAATTTTAATAATGAATCACAGGGTAAATTGTACATAAATTGTAAAAAGTACTATTGCACTCAAATTTGAAATCGGTTCTATTCTTTCTATAATTTATGAATTAAAATTTAATTATTTTAATTAAATATTAATTTTTTTTTAAATTTTTGTTTATTTTTCAATTAAATTTTATTTTACACTATTAAGTATATTTAATTTATTTATTAATTGTTTTGAATTTCGCTAGACTGAACTTTTCGAGAACTATTTTTACGGATTTCAATTTCTTTGTCATAATATTTCCAACAAAAAACAAAATTAAGAAAAATTACCTTACTTGGGTTACTCCCAAGTACTTTTATACTATTTAATAATAATATTTCTTAATGAAAATTCGCACATTTTATACGATTAAACCCAATTTGAAAATGTACCTATTATAAATAATTGTATATAGTATATGAATTGGGATTGCCATCTAGTTGCAATATTAAATATAATTGTTATAAACTCTAATTTTAATTGAAAATTAATATGAAGTTATTATTTTAAAATAATTATTTTCCATACTTCTATAATAAGAGATCTAGGCTAACAATAATGCACTGATTTTGAAATTGAAAATGTACCGATAATTTTTGCAAAAAAAATATAAAGAAACTAAAGCATTTGGTTGAAATCAAGTAAGTAATGACTCAGAGCATAAATAAACAGTATGATAAGCGATTTAAAATGCAAATGTTATAAATTGGACAGGTTACTTTTATATTTTATATGGTTGAAATCATTAAAATACGAGCTGTTTAATTATCAATTTATGTATTATTAATTTTTGATCCAAATATTCATATACTAAAAAATAATTAAGATTTTTAAGGAAACGTTATTTCAAGCCTCTTACTAGCCCTTTCAAAAATTGCTTGTTTAAATAGTTTGCAACTTCTATTTTTTGCTGGAGGGAAGTTATATACAACTAGGTCATGTAGAAATTTCATGAAAACTCATTAAAGTCCTCGCTTCTCGAAACAGTTTAATTTAGCACCCAATTCAAATTTTTTGAATTACCCTATAAACGATTACAATAACACAATACTCACTACTAAATCACCCTGTATATTTTATTATTTAAGTACCAAATATTACCATTTATTTATCTAAAACAATGACCAAATTGCTAAATTATAGGAATTTTAAACGTTATGACAATAAAGAAATTTCATACAAGATGGCAACCCCAAAATAATAATGTGTACATTTTGAAAAATTAAATAGGATATCAAAAAGGATAAAAAGGTTGTTAGTTTTTATAAGTATATAGTTATGATTTTTCTTTTTTTCATTCTTCTTTTTTTCTAATATACTCGTACTATCCTTCAGTATGATGTTTGCGATGAGCCATATGATATTATACATACCTTAACTTGCTTGTAATTAATATTTTTTTTTAAGGTGTAATTAAATTCAGTCAAGGTAAATAGAAAAAAAAAAAGTGTTTATTATAAAAATACAAACATACAAATACATATTACACATTTGATATTATTGTATAACAATACACAACGCACAGTACTCTCTAAAAGTTAAATTCAAAGTGATGACAATTGTTGGCCATTTATAGGGGTACCACTAGATACATATTGCATTTGGATTAAATAAAAATTTATTTGAGTCATAAACAATTTTAATTTTTAATGATCTAACATAAGTGCATACTAATCTTTTAAATTTTCTTGATCTAACTGTATTAAAAATTGTTCAATCAAGTAAGCAAAATAGAATGTTTTAGGAAAATCAGAACGAAATCGGCAGTTCTCATTTAGAAATAAGATATCTAAGAAGGCAGAAATTTATTTCGACGACACTGCAAAAAAGAAAATAAGACAAACATTTCGATTGAATTTATGATCGTGCTGTCAGTAAGCTCATATTTAATTAACGTACTGACACAATAGTAGTAATGCATTTTCAAACATACTTTTCTGACAGCTGGAAAATAGTTTACTATTCTAACAAAGTGTCAAAAAAAGTTGTACTTATGAATATTTAAATTGACAATAGCTTTTTAAAACTCATGCTCAAAACGGTGAACGGGATTAGGGGAAGATCAAGTGTTCACTATTTTGCATAAAATTGTGTGTGACAAATCTAAACAGATAGGCTATTGCCGGCAGTAATTTCCCTTGATTCTGGGCAGTCCCATTTAAATATGTGTACTCTATATAAGTTCTGCCATTTCGTCGCGGAAAATCACTCCATTATCTTATAAATTTCGTTTAAGTTGTCTAAATGTATTCAACTGGTTCATCTATTAAAATGAGCGCAACCTGTTCAATAAAAAATCTCATTTGGAAACGAAACTAGCAGTCTGTTAAAAGTTATATTTTAAATTTATTGTATCGAAAAATTTTTTTCCGGAAAGTACTGTTGTGTAAGTGTTAATGTTATAATAGTTATAACATGATGTAGTTTTATTTTTTCTTTTTTGCAAGTTCTTTAATCGCACTTTAGGTTTTTTTTTTTTAATGATATTATTGAATGAAATGGATGATAGTTGATGAGGACATGAAACCCGAAAAAAGATATGATGTCAGTCTAGTATGTTGAAAAGCATATTTGTATATTAAATAATTTTTGGTGTCGTGATTTTAATAATATAATGACGGTTTCCCGTATTAAGCTAATTATTATATACACGTGTACAATATGTATAACAGAAAATATTCAGACGTTTTAGAATGTTTTAGAATTAAACAACAAATTTTTTAGTTGAAAAATTTGTACTAAGGTAAGAGAATGAGAAAAAAAGAGAAAAAAGAGAAATTCATGAAATTTATTATTTTTCTTACGAGAAATTTTAGAAAATTATGCTTAAAAGTTGCCATATAGTTTGACAATGAAATTTTATAGAAATTTATTTGTTTTATGATAAAAATCTTAATGTTTATTTACACCACGCTGTAATTTTTTTTTTTTTTTGAAAATATTTTTAATGATTTATAGCTGGTAACTTGAATTTAGTGTAGTTTTACACGTGATATTGTTTTTTGTTTTCTCTTAATTTAATTTGATTTTATTAATGAAAAATTGTTGATTTCAATATTGTTGTTAGTGGAAGAGTACATACAAGTATATATTATTAATTATATGTATGTATATATTTATGTAGTCATTTGTAAAATTTTGGAATTTTAATATTATTCTGTAAAACAAATTCCAATTTGAAATGTGAATGAAGAATTAATTATTGGACGGCGATTGTTTGTATTAAGCATTAAATGAATAAAAGCAAGTAGAGGAATAAGATTTAGCCGTAAGTAATGACCATGATCACCATAACCAGAAATGTTCTTATTAAAGAACATAATAAATAATAATTAACATTCCGCAGCATATTCTTGTCACATATTCGTTTCAATAGCCGTAATCCATTGCATTATTACGTCACTATTATTACGCGTCTCCGGTAGCTCCATCCGAGACTATATGGAAGTTCCGAAGCAGCTTGATACAATGCCTCTAAATAAATAAGAAAATAATATCAGGTGACTTTTTGTCTTTTAGACACCATTACTCGAGTTATATGAAGCCTTACAGCTGAAAACTACACTTACAGCTGTCTAATTTTTACATTTTAATTGATAACTCGGAAAAAATAATAGGTCAATTTTGTATATTCATATACTCATTTTGAAATAAACCAAATAACCATAAATATGTAAATAAATAAAAACTCTACTAAATTTTAAAGTTTGCATCCCACAAAATATGCAATAACTTATAGTTCTTAATCATTATCATTTCAAAATATTAAATATTAAATGTGTATATGTAAAAAGGAAAATTTAGCTGTAATAACGACGTTCTGTGACGTTAAACCGTTTTTGAAAGAAATTTCTTTTCCATCTTCAATAAAAAATTAAAGTTGACAAGTAATTTCAAGCACTTATTCCAAATTCCGATAGATGGCTTTAATATTTTCGTATATATACGCAATTTGTATTGCTTTTGTAAACCACGCCATTAAAATATAACATGTGAGTAACATTTAAGTAAAAAACCCAATTATAATTGCTAATACGCGAAATAATGCAAAAACACGAAATATTTTAAAAAAATTCTCACAACATCAGTGCAACTTATTTAAACTGTGATGCAAATAAAGTGTCCAATAATGGAAATAATCGATATAACAATTTTCAATTCTTCTCAGGTTCGAATTTGTAATACATCTTGAAATTTAGGGAAGTCAAAGCTGTGCCGCATTTACTACACATAAAAGTTTTCAACATAAAAAATAATAACTGTTAAACATGACTAATACACTTTCAGTCCATTAAATTTTTAAGAAATAAAACTCACATTTAAAAAAATAGTAAAAAAACTCTAAGCTCGTTGTGTGGTCGCATCTTAAAACTAATCAACACTAACTATATTACGAGTACATAACCTTATCTTTTATATTATGCCAAATTAAATGATTTTTTTTAATATCTTGATATTTTTATTGTATACCTATAATAATCACTTATATATCACTTAAAATTCTAAATAAATTTTAATTTATTTTGTTGAAATATTCAGAAAAGCAAGAAATCTCTTAATATTTTGATAATATCAAGTCAAAATTTTAATAAAGAAAATCACAACGAAATTCGAGGCAAATTAATTCTAAATTTATATATATGTATATATTTTTTACGATAACAGGTGACACGAATTGTGCCCCTAATGGACAACAATATTCTATTTAAATTGTAATTTATTATTATTGTATATTTCTTATATATTATTTAGCCGAAAAGAGTATATAT